CTGTTGACCTGGATGCTCCAGGGACAAAAGCAAGCTACACCTGTTACATTTAGTTTCCCACATACATCCTTGACAACCTCAGCTGAAGAGAGTTGTTTTTATATATATATATATGATTTCTCTCACGTTGGGTCATTGAAAAAGTTAAGAATAATCACCTTAAATAGAAAGCAACTTTATATAGTAGAACAAGGACTCGCATTTAGGTATTTTAGGTATCTTAAGTAAGTCATATTTACCCACCCGAGACTTAGTTTTCTTATCTGAAAAGTCAAAAAGCTGAACTATAGGTTCTTAAGATTCCTTCAAAGCCAATATTCTCTAACTTTATGTTTCTCTGTGTGTGTGTGTGTGTGTGTGTGTGTGTACACATACAGTGTTCAAAATGCTTACAAGTAGCCATTAAGGGATCTTACCCCTAAGCACAGAAAATTATAATATATGCTATGTTTTGTAAAATCTGTTATGTGGTTCCAGGCTTTTTGTTGGTTTTTGTTTTATTTTGTTTTGCTTTGTTGGTTTTTCACATCTTTCTCCATCATGGCAGTCCCTTCCAGCAAGGTAGAGGGAGCACTTTGGGCAGATATTTTTTTCTCACGTCGTCATTCATTCATTCATCCAACAGATGCTTAGTGAGTATCTGTGCTATTTCCTGCGGGTTCAGAGTCTCTGCCCTCAAGTGTAATAAAGAAAACAGGCCATTATAATACCACTTACGAAGGGACAAAGCTCTGGGAACTGTAGGAGCATGAAATGACAGCCAACTTTTCCCCCTGTGGTTCAGAAAAGGCTTTCCAAGGAAATGTCATCACTTTTGCTTGCCACATCCAACTTTCCTGCCCTATCCTGTGCTCAGTCCGGAGCAGCAGCCTGCAAGCTATGTGAACCCAACCAGAGAAGATGAGATCTTTAGTAGATACCTGCCTCTGGGTGGGCCATCACAGGCTATCTCCACAGTATTTGAAACTATACCACAAGAATGAATCAGCCAGTTGGTACTGAATGGTGAGCTGATAGACTGTGGTGGCCCAAATCAGAACTATGGCACCCAAAACCATGATGTCACGGAGAAGTGAGCTCTAAGAACTTTACAAAGGAAGCTGGTCTGTAAAGAGAATAGAGAGCCATATAGACAGAAACTGAAATTCCTAAAGGCCTAAAAGACTTGTCTAGCCAGCTGTTTATTTGATATCCCCAATGTGGATATCTAATGAGCATTTTAAACTTGATTTGTCCTAAACAAAACTCTGGATTTTTATGTACCAAGTCTCTTCTCTCCCAAGGTTGCCCATCAGGTTAATAACCCCACCATTTAACCAGTTGCTCAGGTCCAAATCTGTGAGCAGCTCTGATTTCTCCTTTTTGCTAATTCCATATCCACCCCATCAGCCAGTTCTGTCAGCTCTACCCCTTGCCATATCAGAGCCTGAAGCAAAAGGAAAACTGGATTGGCTGATTGATTGATTGATTGATTGACATGCCAATCTATTTGGCAATTTCCATTGCCAAAAATGTTTTAAGAGCTTCATAGCCCTAATCATCATAGCAAACATATCAAAACCCAGCACCATCAAAATGTATGTCTTTTATTCTGTGGAAATTTTTGAAACCTTTTTTAAACTTTACTTGTAAAATTATTTGACTAATTTAATTTATTCACTTGTGGCTATAACTCGTCATAATCATCAAGAATATTCAAGAATTACTGTGAGATGAAAACAAAGTCAAACCTATAATTGTTTTCAATTGGAATGAAATGTTTGTAAATATGAAAAAAAAACATGAAGTTATGCTTTGTAGGGATTTCTAATTAAACATTAAGTGCCCACTAATAGTTTTCTGTATATCTGCTATCTCAAAGCATGCAAGTCTTTAAGGGGCTTGCAAAAAATGTTAATTAAATGTTGAAATTACATCAATTTATTTAGTTCTTTGGTTTCCAGTAACTTTCCATTTCTGTGATTCTGGCTACTTATGAAGTCTGGCCACCCTTACTGTCCTTGGGTTCCATGACAGGTCCCTGTATCCTTCCAGTAGATACATACCTTTCTTTTTTTTTCTGTCTCAGTTAGCCTGAGTGAGTTTCTCCCTCTTGCAGCCACAAGTACTGCCTGAATTGGAAAACCAGCTTCCTTGTGCCTAGACTAAGCCCTTCACTCTAGTCCACTAGAATCCAGGGGCCAAATCTGGCCCAGTGACTAAATTCCCCAAAGAAAACAAACCCTAGGGAAACCTCATAAGTAGATATTGTTACAGTCATTGGGGATTTCTCACTCTGCTTCTGGAAAGATATGGCAGATTGCCATGCTGAGGCCTGATCCTGGGCCTTGTCTGTTTCTGTATGGTATTTTCCATGAGTTACTGCCCATCCCTTAGGCCTCCTCTTCCTACAGCATTCCCTCACTTGGCTATTTAAAGGTAGTTCATTAGCATATTTTAAATTATGCTAAAACTATAACATTAAAAGAACTTTTTACCATGCCCATTTTTCAAGAACAACTTCAAGGTGGAAAAGGCCCCTTTGAGACCCCCACGAAGAGGAATAACTAATAGATGCAGGTTTTTAAAACTTCAAAATGCTACAGGCTTACATATTTTTTCAGCTTCACCCAAACCCTGGTTCCTTAGACTTGTGCTTTTTGCTAGTACAGCAGTTACATTCAAATACCACCATGTTTTCCTTCTAAAAAGCTAAAGGCATTATGGAGAGTTAAGCTATTCCAAAAACCCATGAAGAGTTGTTACCTTGAATCCTGTCTGCATTTCCATCCATACAGATGCTCAAAAGACTCAGCAAAAAATTTTAAGCAAGCTAATAATGGGATTCATTACAAGTGAAAAATAACAAAATTGGGAGGAGGGTGTTAAAACATGAAAGTTGTTTGAAATATCAATAACATAAAAAAAACTAACCTTTTTTCTCTTTCCCCCCTTAGTTGCAAAAATTCAGCATTTAATAGTTGTAACATTGTGAGCAGTTTTAAACGAATATGTGAACTCCTTGCTAAATGGGCAGGACTAGGGTAAAGCAGGTGAGACTCTAGCTTTGGGTGAAAAATTTAAGGAGGCACCAGAATCTCAGTAATCAAGGTAAATCATATCTTAATATGGTATTTTTGAAAAAGATATCAGCAAACTACAACCCGTGGGCTGGCTGCTTTTTTTTTTTACTTTTTTTGGGGGGTGGGTAATTAGGTTTATTTATTTTAATGGGGGTACTGGGGATTGAACCCAGGACTTCATGCATGCACTCTACCACTGAGCTATGCCTTCCCCCTGGCTGCTTGTTTTTGTAAATAAAGTTTTATTGGAACTTCTGAGGAACAAATAAAGCAAAGAGAAAAAAAAGGTCTGGAGCTTCAATTATAGGGATTGTACACCCTAGGGTTCCAAATAAGAATTTCTTATACTAGGGCTTTTAACTAACAGCCAACTTCCTGACGTTCCAGTGCTGCTGAGAATGTCTGCATTCATCTGTTATCTTTACAGCCTGGAGCCTCTCTGAGCAGGAGAAAAACGTTTGCCCAAAGGTTGGGTTCTTGTGAGAGACAGGGTAACCAGCCACCGGTAATGTTTCTTGGGACCAAAATGGTCTTGTTTACCCAACTTGACCAAGGATCTCAAAAGTCTGCAAAATACCTGCTTAAGGCTACATATTTGAAAAGTCACTGAGATAAATGTCTGAACAAATACTCTGAGTACTCCATAAATATGAGCCAGTTTTTAGTAATAGGAGAATTGTTAGTGTAAATTTTAAGAGTAGAATCACAGTTGTTCTGCAAAGATAGTATTGATGGGCCCATTAATCAGCCTGCCTCAGGACAGGGACCAATGCTAGATAAAGGTAGAAGAGGACATGGACCCAGAAAACAGGAGAGGGTGCTGGTTTTCCTTCCAAGCATTAGGTATGTATCCTACCACCTACAAAAGTGGCTCAGATTTCTAAACGTTCTACCACCAAGCAACTCTTACAGACAGTACAGGCTTCATAACTTACGTTGCCAAAAATTCATCCACTTCTTGAAACAGGCTTTGGATCAGCTCTGAGAAACAGAATTCTTTTCCAAACAAAAGCCTTAGCTACACAATTAAGTGAAAGGTAACTAATTTGCTTGGAGGAGAATAATGAAAGAAAACAAGTTATTTTAAATGATAAAAATATGTACCAAATTGGCAACAGCTTCAGAATGATTGCTCCTGGGTTTGATTAATGAGATACTTTATCAACTGTACAAACAAGAGCTTACTGCTTTAGGACTCTTTTTACTTAAACTTTTAATGAAAGTTTTAAAAATATTCTTAGCTTATAAAAGT